GAAAAACTCGATCGTTATGTTTTCTTTCTTTTCCTTTTCCATGACAATCCGGGAAAATTCAGTGAGGAAAAAAAAGGTGAAAAAAGGGAGGGTAGGGGGGTGTTCAGCGGTAAGGAAGGAAAAACCTTTTTTTTTTTTTTTATACAGTTTTACAAATGATTCTGTCAAGTCGTAATCCGATGAAATTTTATTATATAAAATAATAAAAAGAAAAATTTTTTTTCAAAATTCATATTTAACTTACGTTAAATAAAATCAAAATAAATAAACAGTAAAAAAAAAGTCGTCGAAACTCTTTCCCCTTCCCCACCTCCCCCATTCGTTTTTCTTTTTCTCTCTCTCTCTCACGGGGAGGGGGAAGGAGGAGGAAACGATTCAAAAACATTATGAAAAGAAGTGATGATAATATTCAAGTATCGTTATATACGATGGAAGAGTGAGAGAGAGAGAGAGAGAGATATGTCAGTTTTTGTTTTTCCAGATGGTTCCAGAAAATTTTTATCCATTTTTTTTCGAGGGGGGGATGGAGGGAGGGGTTTCCTACGGGAAAATTTCGGGGTACATTCGATAAAATAATTTAAAAATTATTTGACAAAATTTTTAATGTTAATTACACGAACGATGATGAGTCGGTGGTTTGTTGTTTTGGATCGTTTCGGTTGTTTGTTCGGTTGCTTCCACGTACAAAATCGTGGCAGAGTTAAAAAAAAAAAGGAAAAATAGGAATTTGCATGAAAAGCCTCGGTAAGATTATGTTATTCCGATAACCGAATGATTCATGAGACGAAGAGGCAATGACAAAAGAATAAATCAAATTGAGAAAATCCAAGGGAATGGAGAGAATGGCGGTGGAAAAACTCGTACACGCACATGAGACCATCATCCATCCATAATTGTGTGATAATATCTTCTTCTGCTGGAAAATATATATATATAAACCTCCTGCCCCTCCCCCTGTCCCCTCTAAAAAAAATCTCCCTTTTATATTTTTCATTCTGTTTTTTTGCACCCCCCTTTCCCCTCCCTCTCTATTCATTTCCTTGAACATCGTACGGATTTTCTATTGTTTTACCGCCGTGATAATAATAATAATAATAATAATAATAATAATAATAAAAGGTCGATCGAGTTAAATTTTTTTTCTAATCCCACGTTTGAAAATTTCAAATTTTTATATATATGGGATACCAGTGTAAGAAGTAAATGTTGTTGTTGTCGAATAAAAAATAAAAATATATATATATCAAGCAATTAATCAATCATTCGTGAATGATAATAATAATAATAATACAAAATGGCGTCATATTAATAATAATAATAATAAAATAATCGGAATTGATTATTATTGATTGGTTTTAAATATGGCCGCGTATAAATGTATACACCGCCCAAAAAGTTGTTTTTGTTTTGTTTTTTTTTTTTTTTTTTTTGGTAGGTACGGATAATAATGATTACGTCTTGAAGAATGATTGATTGATTGGATTCTGGTGTGACTGTGTGTGATTTCATTCTGCGGTGAGAGATTTATATAACAATGGTTCCATTCCAAAATCATCATTTGTGCCATCCTTTTACAGAATCCTTTTTTTAGAAAAGGAAGTCATTTTGTTTTGCCTGATGTGTTTTCCTCCCCCTTCTCACCTTTCGTTCCCTATTACTACCCTATTCCATAATCATTCCTGATTTATTCTAAAAGTGTTTTTTTTTTTTTTTTTTAATTTTTATAATATTTTTTTCTTTCCAGTTTTTTTTTTTTTTTTTTTAAAAACTGGAAAATTTAACGGTTGATTACGTTCTGTATTGATAATAATTTCGATGATTTTTCCACCCCGTTTATTTCATCCCTTAAAATATCAACAAGGAAGGGGGGGAAGCAAAAAAAATTTTTTTTTTTTTTTTAATATTAATTTTGTATATTGTTTTAAGTATTATTATTATTATTATTATTATTATTATTATTATTATCCACCATTAAACACGACAAGGCTACTTGTCGGGGTTTTTAAGTATTTATCCGAGGTTTCTACCCGATTCCTTAGGGACAAATACTCGAATTTCGGTGGTGCCACTTATTATAAGATAGCACCACATCAATTCTTGAAGGTCTTCCTGAGTCCATCTTTTTATTCGATGGGAACGATTTGTCTCCTGAACTGGGCTCCAGTGACTAACATCTTTGGAGTGGCCAGGATCAGAAGCAGTGAAATTCACATTCTCGTCGAGCTGCCTCAGGTCGACAGTAGAACAAGATTTGTTTTTTGGTTCTTACTTTGTCTTGTTCTCATTTTTTTTTTTTTGCTCTTTTTAAGCCAACGGCACGTGGCGTTCTCAAACGGTCACCCATCCAAGTTTGCACCACGCCCGATGCTGCTTAACTTCGGTGATCGTACGGGAACCGGTGTGACCAGCACGGTATGCCCGTTGACTTTTATTATTATTATTATTATTGTCGTGAATTCGTGTCGTCTGCTGTATTTTAAACCCGGTTTTGAGATTTTAAAAATTTATTCGTAATCGTTTCCTGTTGAAAAATAAAGAAAATTTCCACGTTTTTCCTCTTTCTCTTTTTCTTTTTTTTTCTTCTTCCACGACAAATTAATACATATTAATAATTTAACATTAATAACGTAATAAAAAAAATTTTTTTTTTTTATAACAATGATAAATAATGATTCCTTTTTTTCCCCGTCGGGATTTAATCCCAGGTGAGAGAGATTTTTACCTTTTTCATTC